TATATACTGACCCAATAGCATATCTTGAAAACTAGAGCCAATCAACAATTTTAAGCATCATTTTCGTTCTCAGTGACCCAGAATTAGTAAAGTTTGACTACATTTATTTCAGAAGCATTTTGGCTGTAGAGCAGTGTAATACATACAAAAAAAAACCCCTTGAAATGTTAAGATTGCAATGTAAAGCACTCAAAAGTTAGGAAAAGCCATTATTATGGCTGCGTGTTCAACTATGGTTCCGCTGCCATGTGCATATATATTATGTTTGGTCTGGTCTACACTTAAAATGTAGTTTGACATAGCTATAGTGCTCAGGGATATGGAAAATCCACACCTGTGAGTGCCACAGCTATACCAACCCTTGGTGTACACATGGCTAGCTAGTGTTGCTCAGGGCAGTGGTGTTCCTACAGCAATGGAAAAACCCCTTTCATTTCTCTAGGCTGCTTCTATGCTATGGAGTTACAATGGCATAGCTACGGTGCTGTAACTGGGCATCTATACCATCCATGGTATAGCCATGACCACAGTCTCTCCCAACTTCACATACGAAGTCTGTGGCTGAGCCACGAAGATAACCTCTCTCTCCTGGGTCCCAGTGCAGTGGTCAGAACAGAAGAACGTCCTTTCTCTTCTTGCAACCATCTTCCTGATTTACTGTGATCCAGTGTGCTGAATTAGGCAGAACCTCAGCACATCTAAGGTGTGTATGTAGGACTCAATCTTGCCAGGTGCTGCGCTCTGTGACTCTGATCCAACAAACCACTTAAAACACATGTTTAAAGTTAAATCCCAGTGGGACTACTCACATGCTTAAAGTGTTTTACTGGATTGGGACCATAGTGCTCAGCAGTTTTCAGGATCGAGCCCCATATTAACTAATAAATTTGCACCCTTTTGTGTGTTTCAGCTTATATATTTCACAACATCATACTGTTTTCTTGAGCATCAGCTATTTTTCCTTTCTTTTCCTATCAATTTAGGAAGTCTGTTTATAAGTATCCACTAGAGAAGTCCACTTCTCTAATACAGAATTTTTTGGCTATCTATAAATAGCCAGTAAGAAGAGCATATCACTTGAAAACTTGGGTTACCTAGGGAGGTGGTGGAATCTCCTTCCTTAGAGGTTTTTAAGGTCAGGCTTGACAAAGCCCTGGCTGGGATGATTTAGTTGGGAATTGGTCCTGCTTTGAGCAGGGGGTTGGACTAGATGACCTCCTGAGGTCCTTTCCAACCCTGATATTCTATGATTCTATGAAAACAGGATGAGAATATTTTCCTAACATTTTATATGTTACCTTTATCTTTCCATGCAGATTTATCTATCTGTCCTATCAAGAATCATGTAGCAATTTAGTTTGATGGTTATCTCTACTCATAAAAATCTCCTCTTTTGTGTTTCTAGCTGGAGATTCGCTCTCAGAACCATCATCTTGCCAAAACTTTACTGGATTTAAACATGGAAATGCAGAGACTGAGAAATGAAAATGAACTGTCAGCAGCTTCAGAATCCAAGGCACTGAACATTGCTGTAAGCCCAGAATAATAAACTGCATTTCAAGACATAAACCCTGAAGATGAAATATACATTCCATAAATGATTCTGACAACAACATTATGGATAAGCTGCAAAAACTTCTAGATCCAATTTGGTAGCAGAATACATGGCATTATTTGAAAATTACAGCAAAGTTCAAGTGTGAATCTTGGGGGTGGGGAATGCTGTATGTATTAGGGTTTGAAATCTTCCTGTCTTGTGGGAAATGGGGGTGGAGGGAGAAGTAATGTCTATAAACTGTGGGATCTTTCTGCTTCATTCTTATTCCTCTATATGTTTACTGTTCTGCCAGTTTTATTGCCTAGGGTTACCTTAGCATTCAGAACCCAGGCCCATTTTATTTCGTTACCGTCACTTCAAGTTTTCATTAGTTTAAATGTTTTTTCCTCCAGAGTGAAAATTTTTAAGTGTGCCCTGGAATTAATTCATTTTATGTTGTTTTTTTTAAAACAACATATTTTAGTACCAAATAACAATTTAATTTTCTTTACTAGACTCAAATAACTGAAAGATCTGAGGATGATTCATAAAAGCAGACATATCTAGGCCATAAAACTCCAGTGTATTTAAAATGTATATAACTGTAATTGAACTTTTAGCAATAAAAACTAGTGTCTAAATGCTGAGGAGAAGGTGACTTTTTAACCCTTTTATTGCACTCATGGCCTGTATTGAAGTTGGTAGAATGAACATGTTTTATGTTCATTTTGGTAAGTATGCCAACAAAAGTCTGTATTATCTTCTTCGGGGAAAAAATCTACTAGAAACTCCATATTTACCTCCAAATTATCTTAGAGTAGATGACCAGGGCATGGAGGAAGCAGGCAGCTTGTCTTTTGGAACATGTAGCTGTACTAAGATCTGTGGGATTTCACTGCAGAGCTGTGGGCATTTGTAGAGGGCCGAGAAATTTACACACAGGCCCCAGTGCCTCTATGCTGCTCCTTTTCCCTGATAGTATGGTTCCCTAAAGAACGCTGCAGGTCTTGGCATTGTTCGGCAGGTTTCAGTCTCTGGAAGGGGAGAGTTTGTAAGATAATGCTGATACGATTTTACTGCGGAGGATCCTTATTGGTGTGCCGGAGGATGATGCTATGTCACAGTCCCATTTTTGGTGGGATCAGGAGGACAGAGCATGCTGCATTGTTCCTGCTCCATCCTTCTTCACACCAGGAGTCCTGGTTCTTTTAACTTTGGCTTCCCTCTGCCTGTGGTAGCTAAAGGGAGCATAGAAGCCAAATGTAGCTGCCGATAGTACAGCCATTACACACATGTGTAATTCGTATTTAAATCAGTGTGAACTTTGGCTACCTCAGTGCTTCAGGGCCCTAACTTACCTTGTGAACTTTTGGATGAGGGGAGCTAACAAGCATTTTACTTAAGTGTGCAAATGCTTCAGGCTTGCTCCTGCTGATGGCAATAAGAGCTTTTATCATTGATTTCAGTTGAAGCAGGATTGGGGTTATGATGTTATTTCCTACACAGTGACAACTGTGACTGCATAGGATTGGGGAGAGGATTGGGCCCAGACTAGGAAGAAGTTGTAATCTGTGAAAGAAGCTTATTGAAACATCTTTGAGGGTGAGATATTACCAGTAATCAGTTTCTTAATGTATTAGGCTTAGACTGGGGTGTTTTGTTTTATTTTGCTTGGTAACTTACTTTGTTCTGTCTATTATTACTTGAAACCACTTAAATCCTACTTTTTATGCTTAATAAAATCACTTTTGTTTATTAATATACCCAGAGTAAGTGATTAATACCCGGGGGAGCAAACAGCTGTGCATATCTCTCTATCAGTGTTATAAAGGGTGGACAATTCATGAATTTATCCTGTATAAGCTTTGTACAGAGTAAAATGGTTTTATTTGGGGTTTGGATCCCATTGGGAGCTGGGTATCTGGGTGCTGGTGTTAGGTACCTGCTGAGCTGTTTTCAGTTAAGTCTGCAGCTTTGGGGGTGTGGACCAGACCCTGGGTCTGTGTTGCAGCAGACTAGCGTATCTGGCTCAACAAGACAGGGTTCTGGAGTCCCAAGATGGCAGGGAAAACGGGATCAGAGGTAAGTTTAGCACATCAGGTGACACTCCCAAGGGGGTCTCTGTGATCGAACCCATCACAGGGCCCTTACATACTATAGGAACAGGGCCCATATAGGTACCAAAATAGACTTCTGCCAAGCTTCCCTACCTTGAACATGTGCTAAGAATATGCAAAATGTTTTATTGGATGTACATCTTGTTAGGGTTTGACAGTTTTGTTGTGACCAAGGAATCTAATACTGCTTCACTGAGGTTTGCTCTTGATTTCAATAGGATTGGACTACGTGTGAAGGTGCGTACCTTTCAGACATCGTAATGTGTCAAATGCAAGAAATGTAACATGCTTATTTGGATGTCAGGTGCAGAGCTCCAAGCATATGCACACACTGTACACACTGACTTAGGTATATCCACGTGGAATCTATATATAAATGCAGGTGTGGTACTCCAGAGGTTTGTGCATCTGCATGCAGTTAAATAACGGTGCATTGAAATAAATACATTCATGTCTGAGTATATTTGGAGCACCACACCTGTATATATCATGAGACAGCCAAGTATATCCACTAAGTATAAAAACTTGCCTGATGAAAACAGATGTCCTACTGCTTGGCTCCAGACATCTGGGTGTTTTATCCAGTATGGTCACTTGGCTTATTTTAGCTATGAGCTCTATCACTCTGGATAGGTCAGGGGCTGGAATTCTTGGTAAGACTGGGTGAGTGGTTGAAAAAGAATTCCTAACTAGTTGCCAGATGCAGATATTTGGGTCCTGGGGCGGCAAAAAAGCCAGAGCCGGCCCTGTTACCTAGTAAATAAACAAAACCACAAACTGAGTTTAACATATTAGGTAGGTAGGATATGAATTAGCAAATTCTCATCCTAAGTGATAAACAGGCTGGCAGTTTTCATACTCAGGCTAGAAATCCCTTTAGCCTGGGACCATAGATTCATAGATTCTAGGACTGGAAGGGACCTCGAGAGGTCATCGAGTCCAGTCCCCTGCCCGCATGGCAGGACCAAATACTGTCTAGACCATCCCTGATAGACATTTATCTAACCTACTCTTAAATATCTCCAGAGATCGAGATTCCACAACCTCCCTAGGAAGTTTATTCCAGTGTTTAACCACCCTGACAGTTAGGAACTTTTTCCTAATGTCCAACCTAAACCTCCCTTGCTACAGTTTAAGCCCATTGCTTCTTGTTCTATCCTTAGAGGCTAAGGTGAACAAGTTTTCTCCCTCCTCCTTATGACACCCTTTTAGATACCTGAAAACTGCTATCATGTCCCCTCTCAGTCTTCTCTTTTCCAAACTAAACAAACCCAATTCCTTCAGCCTTCCTTCATAGGTCAAGTTCTCAAGACCTTTAATCATTCTTGTTGCTCTTCTCTGGACCCTCTCCAATTTCTCCACATCTTTCTTGAAATGCGGTGCCTAGAACTGGACACAATAGTCCAGCTGAGGCCTAATCAGAGCAGAGTAGAGCGGAAGAAAATGACTTCTCATGTCTTGCTCACAGCACACCTGTTAATACATCCCAGAATCATGTTTGCTTTTTTTGCAACAGCATCACACTGTTGACTCATATTTAGCTTGTGGTCCACTATAACCCCTAGATCCCTTTCTGCCGTACTCCTTCCTAGACAGTCTCTTCCCATTCTGTATGTGTGAAACTGATTTTTCTTCCTAAGTGGAGCACTTTGCATTTGTCTTTGTTAAACTTCATCCTGTTTAACTCAGACCATTTCTCCAATTTGTCCAGATCATTTTGAATTATCTGTCACCCTGTCCTCCAAAGCAGTTGCAATCCCTCCCAGTTTGGTATCATCCGCAAACTTAATAAGCGTACTTTCTATGCCAATATCTAAGTCACTAATGAAGATATTGAACAGGACCGGTCCCAAAACAGACCCCTGCGGAACCCCACTCGTTATGCCTTTCCAGCAGGATTGGGAACCATCACTTCCCCCAGTTCAGTCTTTGTTCCTCAGGTGTTTCCAGGTGTGTGGTTGTAGGGAGAATGAGATACCATCATGATGTCATTTCCCCCTTTTATATCTTCTTCCCACTTGCTGGAGAGTTCTTTCGCTGTGACCTGGGACAAACAGTTCCTATTGTGTAGTGCTATCTCTGAGAGGTTTCTGTTGTACACAGTTCCTGGAGTAGTCCTTGTGCTTGTGTGAATTTCCTCAATAAACCATTAACATTGTTTGACCTTTTTACTGTTGTACCCGAAAGGCTGCTTGTGGGTGTTTTCAACATCACAGCTTGTTTCAGTAACACATACATAGCCAAACTTCATAACTTCACATACAATCCAATGAGATATTAATGTCTAGCAGATCAAGACTTTTAGAATGATACCTCACAAGGCATACTTTGTGCAAAGCATATCCTAATTATATGACAGTGGTGAATAAGGGGTTGCTGGGGTGTCACAGTGGATACCTGTGAGCTCCTGCCAGCATGTCACTGGTTTTAACGTGATCAAGGTAGCAATGCAAGCAAAGTAACAACGCAACCCAAGCATAAAAGCAACAGAATGTCTCAGAGGTTTGTGTGTGCAAAGGGAGTGTTGGAAAAGGACACTAATAAGAGAAAAGCATAGAGAAATGTAATGGAGAAACAAAATAAATATACTCAGACATGTAGGTCTTAGGTTAGTGATCATATTTATTCATATTACTTCCACCTTTTATCATTGTTAACCTAATTATTTTAGCTCTGGATTTTTTCTTCTGTTGTGTATCATCTTAGAATGATCATAAAAAGCTATATTATTATTATCATTTGTATTTGTATTATCATAGCAGCTAGCAGCCCCAGTCATGGACCAGGATCCCATTGTGCTAGGTGCTGTACAAACACAGAACAAAAAGATCGCCCTTGCTGTAAAGAGCTTACAGTCTAACCCAGTAATATCTGCAAAAGTGTTATATCATTAGTTACAGTATAATAATGACTAGAAGCCCATTGTGCTAGGCACCATAGAAACAAATACATAGTAAGAGACAGTCCCGGCCCCTCAAAGAGCTTACAACCTAACAGCTAGATCCTGCAAATGAATCCTTATATGCATAGGCGCCGACTTTTACTGCCGTTGGTGGGTGCTCGACCCCCACTGCCACCGCCCCCTTCCAGGGCCACCAGAGGATTCAGGGGGCCTGGGGCAAAGCAATTTTGGGGGCCCCTTCCATAAAAAAAGTTGCAATACTATAGAATACTATATTCTCGGGGGGCCCCTGCGGGGCCTGGGGCAAATTGCTCCACTTGCCCCCCGCTCTGGGCAGCCCTGCCCCCTCCTGCCCCCATTCCAATCCCTTCCCCAAAGTCCCTGTCCCAACTCCTCCCCCTCCCTGCCCCATTCCGACTCCTTCCCCAAATCCCCGCCCCAGCCCCCCTCTTCCCCACCTCCTTCCCTGAGCTCACCACGTTCCCACTCCTCCCCCCTCCCTTCCGGAGCTTGCTACAGCTGTTTGGTGATGACAAGCACTGGGAGGTAGGTGGAGGAGTGGGGACGTGGCATGCTCAGGGGAGGAGGCAGAGGAGGAGGTGAGCTGGGGCGGGGAGCTTGGCTGCCGGTGGGTGCAGAGCACCCACTAATTTTTCCCCGTGGGTGCTCCAGCCCCGGAGCACCCACTGAGTCAGCGCGTATGCTTATGTGTGCCCTGACAGATCCGTTTGTGGGATCTAGCCCTAAACAAACAAGATAATGGATGGGAGGAAAGAAGGAGTGTTACTCACCACCATTTTGCAGATGAAGAACTATCTATTTTACTGTGTGTGTTTCCCCAACATGCACATACTGTCAAGAAAACAATTTTGTTCAGAGCAGCAGCGTGGCAACCCACAGGGTGAGGAGCACCACAAGTCACACACAAATTGTGAAATATTTTTGCATATGAACTTTTAAAATTAAAATTGCTGCTCTCACCCTACTACTGGTGGCAGCTGTAAGATGACAAATTGCAGCATTTGCAACACAACGCAGTAGGGTGCTACACATTAGAGATTATAAAGCAGTATTAAATCTGTGAGAAAGCTGGTTTACAATCTCTTACACAGGGATCCCACCTAAATGATCCCATCTTTTAACACCGCTGCCACCAAGCTCAGAAATACCATAGTTATGAGGCTAGTGAGGCTTACAGTTACCCATATACTTACATACAGATCAGGCCTCTACATTAGATATATAGATAATAATAACATAGGACCCAGCAATGTGCTCTGTGTAGGCAGACTCCAGCTCATATTTGATGGCATTTGCCATGGGAATAGGATCTCATGGCAAGACTGGGGCCATAGTTTGCACTTCTATACTGCCTTGCATCTGAAGATCTCAAAGTGCCTTTTATTTATTAACATTGATTATGCCTCATAACATTTATTACACCTCTTAACACCCCTTTGAGACACTATTCTACACATTTTGCATATAGACAAAGTGTGACCCAGAGAGTTTAGGGATCTTGCCAAAAACTGCATATTAAATTAGAGAAAAAGCTGG